GGTTCACTTCGCTCGGGAGCTCCCGAACGAAGTGAGAACCCCACCCTCCCCAGAAATCGTGGGGTGTGGGGGTAGGGTTCGCATCTGGCCCCCTGGCGACGTCACGTTGGCCGGGGCTCGCGCTGCGCTCGGCGCCGGGCCTGGCAGCGAGGAGGCGGGCGACGCGGCGCCGGCCTCCGCGTCGCCTAATCCCGCTCGTCGAGGAGTGCGCTTGGGCGGGGGGCTCGGCCTCCCAGCCGGGCGGCCGCCCGTCGCGCGGGCCGGCGGGGGCGATGCGAGGCCCTGGCGTCCGACGCCGCGGCTTCCATCGACGCCCCCCAGAGATCCAACGTATTGAAAAAATCAAGACGGAGGTTTTTCTCAAATTTCGGCCCCTAGGGGCCCTCGCCGGGCCTCGGGGCCGTCAAAAAACGACGCAGAATGAAAAACCGGTCCTGGGGAAGGGGTCGAGACTTCCGGGGACCCCGTACTGAAAAAATCACGACGTCGGATCTCTGGGCCTGACTCCAGATCCGTCCTACTTTGGCGGGGCGCCCAAGGGCCCGGACAGCGGCGCGCCCCTCGGGGTCGCTCCGGGCGCACTCATCGCAGTCTGCTCGGCGTCGCTGGGACGCGTGCCTTCTTCCTCGGCGAGGACGGCCCGGACTCCAGATCCGCCCTACTTTGGCTTCTTTTGCGCCCTAAAATTGCGTCGGAAATCCACCTGTAAGAAGCCGAACAAGTAGGGCGGACATTTCTGCACCCAACATAAAATAGGGCGGAAATCCACAGAAGTAGGGCGGAAACAGCAACAGAAAAGTAGGGCGGAAATTGGCATCAGCGGGGCTTGAAACGTAAGGCGGCAATTCCAAGCCCTACTTACGAATTTCCCCAAAGTAGGGCGGATCCGGAGTCAGGGTCGCCCCCCACCCCCAAACATCCGACGCGTGGAAAAAATCTACACGTCCAAAGCGTCGGGTTTCTAAGTCTTGACTTGATTTTGTCCCTTACGATTGAGATGGCTGGCTTTTTTCCCTGCCGTCCGATTTTGATGCGCGCGCGTGAGTTGCCATATTACACCGCGTGCGTCATCTAGAGTTCTGTGCGATGCACTGAGACGCCGCCGAGGTAACACGGAATTGTGCAACGCGCCCCGCGCGCGCATGTGGCGCCATGCGACGATAATTCTACACAAACATACAGTGTCACTCCGAAATCTCATGGCGAAAAATGCCCCAGTGGCACTCCAGGCCTCAGCACAAGATAACATATGTATACGCATGTTTGATAACCAATACGCGTTTCTGATGGCGCGCACGCGCAGGGTGACCCACACCAGGGTGGGTCACCCCAGAATTCGGCTGTGATAACCAATAGTTTGACTTGCGCCTCAACATGACATGGTGAAACCATCATACGGACACCAGTGTGTATATATATATATATATAGAGATATATAGAAAAAAAACGCGCGCCTGCATACTGTTTCACGATATTGTAATTTTCGGGTGACCCACCCTGGGGTGGATCACCCAGCGCGCGCGCAATATGAAATGCATATGGTTTTACAATAAGCTCATCTGGTGTTGAGGCCAATAATGCAAGTGAAACAATTGGTTTTCACCATTGAGTTTTCGGGGGTGGCACGCGCCACCCTAGTGCGTTCACCATTGATCATCGCATGTGGAGGCCGAATATACAAGTGAAACCATTTGTGTTCACCACCCAGTGCGCGCGCAATGGGAAAATGCACTGTCTCACAATATTCAATCTCATGTTGAGGCCCAGAATGCAAGTGAAACAATTGTTCACCGTTGAGTTTTCGGGATGACACGTGTCACTCCGGCTTTTCTTCTTCCTGGTTTTCACCACGCCGTTCTCGGATGACCCATCCTGGGGTGGGTCACCCAGCGCGCGCGCGAAGTAAGAAACATATGTACGTTTCACTATACACCATCTCATGTTGAGGCCCAGAATGCAAGTGAAACAATGGGTTTTCACCATTGAGCTTTCGGGGTGGCACGTGTCGGGCTGGCCCGGGGAGGAAGAGCAGGAGGAGGAGGAGGACGACGAGGAGGAGGAGGAGGAGGAGGAAGAGGAGGAGGAGGAGGAGGAGGAGGAAGAGAATGAGGCGGGCGAGGATGAGGAGGGGAGGAGGAGGAGGAAGAGGAGGAGGGTGGGGCGGGGGGGAGGAGGAGGGGAGGAGGAGGAGGAGGAGGAGGAGGAGGAGGACCCCGCACCGCAGGACAGCCGGGACATATTTCGATCCGATCCGACTGCTCAATGCGGCGGTGACCCACAGACCCCCGACGCCGCGACGTTCTCGCAATAGGTCGACCCCCAGAGGGCTGGGCCCTCTGCCCAGGGCCAGTCCTTCGCCCCCGGTCGCCTGCTGCCGGCCCCGCGGCCCGGGAAGGGCCTCGGGAGGCCAGAGGTATCGAGAGCGGAAAAGAGGGGGGTGATGATTAGGGGGGGGGGATTTCATGGCGTGGGCCACGATTGTTCCTCAGAGTTCATGGCGCCTCTGCTTATTTCAGTACGTCCCAGGACCCCCGCTGGGCCGCGCACATGCCGCCGGTCATGATTTGCACCCCCCCTCTTGGACACCCCCCTCTTGGCCGCTGCCGAGAGATAGTGAAAAGCCTCCCCGTCGTGATTCCCAGAGATCCGACGTCGTGATGGTTTCGATGCGGGGCCCCCGGAAGTCTCGACCCGTTCCCCAGGTGGGCCGCTGAAGAAAGTCGGGCCGCTGAAGAAAGGACACTTTTTCGTTGGGCCCAGTGCTCCTCCATTGTGTTGCAGTTTTAGCCAGCTGGGCCTTGGGCCTTAGGTCTTCTATGGAAGATCGGAGGTTCACTTATAGAAAAAGGGGCCTCGCTTCCCAGAGATCCGACGTCGTGATGTTTTCAATGCGGGGCCCCCGGAAGGCTCGACCCGTTCCCCAGGGCCGCTTTTCATCCTGAGCCGCTTTTGGACGGCCCCGGGGCCCAGCGAGGGCCCCTATAGGAGCCGACATTTGGGGAAAACCGCCGTCTCTTAATTTCTTCAAGGCGTTGGATCTCTGGGTTCGGGCGAAGAGAGTTATGCACATGCACCGATCCTGACAAGGCCCATCCTCGACCCAGGATCGGTGCGTGTACCTCCCTGGCCATGGCAAGAGGGCACATGCACCGATCCTGGGCTCAGGATGGTCCTGGCCAGAATCGGTGTACGTGCATAGCTCTTTTTCCTCCATGTTTTTTTTTTTTGTGTCGCCGCGCGAAGGGGGCCTGCCCTGACTCCGGATCCGCCCTATTTTGGGGAAATTCGTAAGTAGGGCTTTGAATTTCCGCCTTACTTTTCAAGCTCCGCTGATGCCGATTTCCGCCCTATTTTTCTGTTGCTGTTTCCGCCCTGCTTTGTGGATGTCCGCCCTATTTTATGTCGGATGCAGAAATGTCCGCCCCACTTTGTTCGGCTTCTTATAGGTGGATTTCCGACGCAATTTTACGTTGGAAAAGAAGCCAAAGTAGGGCGGATCTGGAGTCAGGGTGGGGGGCTCCAGCCGTGACAGCCGCCACGTCGGACCCCAGGGGGTGCCGCTGCTCGTGCTGGCGTGCCCTCGCTGCCACGGCCGGGCTCTCCTCGGCAGCACTCCCGGTCAGAGCGCGCGCCCCGGGAGAGGTCCAGGGGAGCACCAGCATCAGGAGGAGGAGCGAGGAGGAGGAGGAGCGAGGAGGAGGAGCGAGGAGGAGGAGGAGGAGGAGGAGGAGGAGGAGGAGGAGGAGGAGGAGGAGGAGGAGTGAGGAGGAGGAGGAGGAGGAGGAGGAGGGAGGAGGAGGAGGAGGAGGAGGAGAGGAGGAGGAGGAGGAGGAGGAGGAGGAGGGAGGAGGAGGATGAGGAGGAGCGAGGAGGAGGAGGAGGAGTCAGGGTGGAGGGACCGACCCCCGCTCCGGCGCCCGCGAGCCCTCGAGGAGGCGCCGTGCTGCACGGCCTCGCAGGCCGCGGGCACGCCACGGCGAGCCCCGCCGCCGCCCCCCTGCGCTGACACGTCGGGCCCGTCCCTGCTGCGGTCGGGGGCGGCAGAGAGAGGGGAGCAAACAGGGAATAAAGACATAAGCATAACAGGAACAAAAAGGAACAGAGAAAGGGGAACAAAGAAAGGGGAACAAAAAGGAACAAAGAAAGGGGAACAGAAAGGAACAGAGAGAGGGGAACAAAAAGGGACCAAAAACATAAGCATAAAAGGAACAAAAAGGAACAAAGACAGGGGAACAAAAAGGGGAACAAGAAGGGACAAATAAAGAACCCGAAACAGAAACCCAAACGAACAAATACATGAACATTAACCTAAGCAAAGAAAGGGGAACAAAAAGGAACAAAAAGGGACCTGAACATAAAAACTCGGAGGTCTGCGCAGACTTCTCGGATCGGCGCTGGGGCCCCCGGGCGGCGCCTCCGGCGCCGCCCCTGGCGCGCTCCGCGCGCCAGGGAGGGGGGTCCAGCGCCGATCCGAGAAATCCGCGCGGAGACCTAGAAGAGGGGGGTGATGACTAGGGGGGGATATCATGGCGTGGGCCATGATGTTTCCCAGATTTCACGGTGCCTCTTCTTGCTTCATCGCGTCCTTGGTCCCCCCGCTGGGCCGCGCACATGCCACCGGTCATGATTTGCACCCCCCCCTCTTGGACACCCCCCTCTTGGCCGCTCCCGATACAGGAGGAATATCAGCAGGGAAAAAATACACACAGACACGATGAATCGTCGATTCCCCAGAAACATTGGGAAATAGGGGACATATGGGAAAATATCGGAAACTATGGGAAATAGGGGGAATCCTGTTCTTTGTGTCTATTCATTTGTGTGTCTCAGGGCCCCATTCAGAATATGCAGAGATAGTCAAAACACAGTCTTTGGGCGACGTCTGGACTATTTTTGAGCCTCCCTCGAGCATTTTGAGTCTTGTCTGCATCTCCCCTCCTCCCTCGCTCCCTTGGACTATTTTTGAGCCTCCTTCGAGCACTTTTAGCTTTGTCTGCGTCTCCCCTCCTCTCTCGCTCCCTTGGACTATTTTTGGGCCTCCTTCGAGCACTCTGAGCTCTGCCTGCGTCTCCCCGCCTCTCTCGCTCCCTCTCCGGGGTCGGCGCGGCCTGCCCAGGGCCGACGTTGCGAAGCAGCGCGGGGCGTGGACTGGGGGATCGACTACAGACTTGATTTAGCCCAAACTTGATTTTCACATCGACTCTTCAGCAAAAGCACGTCAACCATTCGTAGATCTGCGAAAGTTCTACGACTTGCCCGTGGACCCGACAAGAAAAGTCAATTCTGGGGCAAATCAATTCTGTAGTCGATCCCCCACTCGATATGGACACGTTCGCCGCTCGTGAGTGCCAGGGCCACAGCCAGCTTAGACTTAAGTCGGGCGTGTCCCCCTACAGAGGGATTTTCGACGAAAAATAAAAAACATACCCCCAAAATAATCCAAACATTAACCCAAAATAGCCAGGAGACTATTTCTTTTTTTTGTTTGCCTTTTTGGGGTATTTATTGTGTATGTTTTAGTTTTCGTCGAAAATCCGCCTGTAGGGGGACACGCCCGACTTGAGCTTAGACCCCACGGCCGCTTCCAGCCAAGCGCCCAGGTCCGTTCGCCCTGGGCTTTGTGCCATCGGTGCGCTATGGGTCCACGTGACCAGTGGGGCAGTCTCAGCAACCAGGTTCACTATGAAGGGACAGGCTTTGCGCCGCCGCGACACGCCGATTTAAGTCTACGTTTTATTGAATCGCTTCGCTCATTCCGCCGGCCCTGGAGCGCTATTTGGGGCCTCTTGGGGCCGTCTTGGGGGCTTCTTGGGAGCGTCTTGGGGCTCCTTGGCGGCGTATTGGGCTCCCCTGGGGCCTCGCGGGGGGCTCTTGGGGGCCCCATCGGGGCGGGAGGGGGGGGTAGTCGTTGGCAGCCCCCCCCTCGGAGGCCACGATCCTCCGCTGGTTTCTGTCTACGTTTTATGTTTCGCCCAAAATCCCCTTGTAGGGGCACGGGCCCCACCGAACTCTCCGCCGCGCCGAGCTGCCAGCGCAGGGCAAGAACGAGAAAACAAAAATGTTTTATATTTTTCGCCCAAAATCCCCCTTGTAGGGGGACAGGCCCGAGGTAAGTGCAAAAAACCGACAGCACCTCTGAAGATGACTCGAACAACAGGAATAGTTTTGCGGAACTAGCAGGAGACCGAGTTCCGAGCTCTGGATTCGACAGGCGAACGCCCAAACTCCCCCTTGTAGGGGGACAGGCCCCACCGAACTCTCCGCCGCGCCCTCCTCGCTCCCACCGCCGGCGACCGCTGGGGCCGGCGGGCCACCGCCGCAGGCCCCTGGAGGTTGGCACCCACACCCACATCAACGGCGGCGCGCCTCCCACCGAGGGCAGAACCCAGAGGTCCAACGTATTGGAAAAAGATCAGGGCGGCTTTTTTTTTGTTTTTTGCAAATTTCGGCCTTCCCAGAGGTCCAACGCATTTGAAAAAGATCAGGGCGGCGGTTTTTCGCAAATTTCGGCCTTCCCAGAGGTCCAACGTATTGGAAAAAGATCAGGGCGGCGGTTTTTCGCAAATTTCGGCCTTCCCAGAGGTCCAACGTATTGGAAAAAGATCAGGGCGGCGGTTTTTTTCGCAAATTTCGGCCTTCCCAGAGGTCCAACGTATTGGAAAAAGATCAGGGCGGCGGTTTTTCGCAAATTTCGGCCTCCCCAGAGGTCCAACGTATTGGAAAAAGATCAGGGCGGCGTTTTTTTTTTTTTTTTTTTTTTTTTTTTTTTTTTTTTTTTTTTTGCAAATTTCGGCCTTCCCAGAGGTCCAACGTATTGGAAAAAGATCAGGGAGGCTGTTTTGTCGCAAATTTCGGCCTTCCCAGAGGTCCAACGTAATGGAAAAAGATCAGGGCGGCGTTTTTTCGCAAATCTCGGCCTTCCCAGAGGTCCAACGTATTGGAAAAAGATCAGGGCGGCGTTTTTTCGCACATTTCGGCCTTCCCAGAGGTCCAACGTAATGGAAAAAGATCAGGGCGGCGGTTTTTCTTGCAAATTTCGGCCTTCCCAGAGGTCCAACGTGTTGGAAAAAGATCAGTGCGGCGTTTTTTCGCAAAGTTCGGCCTCCCCAGAGGTCCAACGGAATGGAAAAAGATCAGGGCGGCGTTTTTTCGCAAATTTCGGCTTTTCTCGCAAATTTCGGCTTTCCCAGAGGTCCAACGTATTGGAAAAAAAGCAGTGCTGCGTTTTTTTCGCAAATTTCGGCCTTCCCAGAGGTCCAACGTAATGGAAAAAGATCAGGGCGGCGTTTTTTCGCAAATTTCGGCCTTCCCAGAGGTCCAACGTATTGGAAAAAGATCAGGGCGGCGTTTTTTTTGCAAATTTCGGCCTTCCCAGAGGTCCAACGTAATGGAAAAAGATCAGGGCGGCGTTTTTTTCTCAAATTTCGGCCTTCCCAGAGGTCCAACATATTGGAAAAAGATTAGGGCGGCGTTTTTTCGCAAATTTCGGCCTTCCCAGAGGTCCAACGTATTGGAAAAAGATCAGGGCGGCGGTTTTTCGCAAATTTCGGCGTTCCCAGAGGTCCAACGTATTGGAAAAAGATCAGGGCTGCGTTTTTTTTCGCAAATCTCGGCCTTCCCAGAGGTCCAACGTATTGGAAAAAGATGAGGGAGGCTGTTTTTTTCGTAAATTTCGGCCTTCCCAGAGGTCCAACGCAATGGAAAAAGATCAGGGCGGCGGCTTGTCTCGCAAATTTCGGCCTTCCCAGAGGTCCAACGTATTGGAAAAAGATCAGGGCGGCGTTTTTTTCTCGCAAATTTCGGCCTTTCCAGAGGTCCAACGTAATGGAAAAAGATCAGGGCGGCGGTTTTTCGCAAATTTCGGCTTTCCCAGGATCCAACGTAATGGAAAAAGATCAGGGCTGCGGTTTTTCTAGCAAATTTCGGCCTTCCCAGAGGTCCAACGTATTGGAAAAAGATCAGGGCGGCGCTTTTTTCGCAAATTTCGGCCTTCCCAGAGGTCCAACGTAATGGAAAAAGATCAGGGCGGCGTTTTTTCGCAAATTTCTGCCTTCCCAGAGGTCCAACGTATTGGAAAAAGATCAGGGCGGCGTGTTTTTTCGCAAATTTCGGCCTTCCCAGAGGTCCAACGTATTGGAAAAAAAGATCAGGGCGGCGTTTTTTTTCGCAAATTTCGGCCTTCCCAGAGGTCCAACGTATTGGAAACAAATCAGGGCGGCGCTTTTTTCTCAAATTTCGGCCTTCCCAGAGGTCCAACGTAATGGAAAAAAATCAGGGCGGCGTTTTTTCGCAAATTTCGGCCTTCCCAGAGGTCCAACGTATTGGAAAAAGATCAGGGCGGCGGTTTTTCGCAAATTTCGGCTTTCCCAGAGGTCCAACGTATTGGAAAAAGATCAGGGCGGCGTTTTTTCCGCAAATTTCGGCCTTCCCCAGAGGTCCAACGTATTGGAAAAAGATCAGGGCGGCGTTTTTTCGCAAATTTCGGCCTTCCCAGAGGTCCAACGTAATGGAAAAAGATCAGGGCGGCGTTTTTTCGCAAATTTCGGCCTTCCCAGAGGTCCAACGTAATGGAAAAAGATCAGGGCGGCGTTTTTTCTTGCAAATTTCGGCCTTCCCAGAGGTCCAACGTATTGGAAAAAGATCAGGGCGGCGGTTTTTCGCAAATTTCGGCTTCCCCAGAGGTCCAACGTATTGGAAAAAAATCAGGGCGGCCGTCTTTCGCAAATTTCGGCCTTCCCAGAGGTCCAACGTATTGGAAAAAGATCAGGGCGGCGTTTTTTCGCAAATCTCGGCCTTCCCAGAGGTCCAACGTAATGGAAAAAGATCAGGGCGGCGTTTTTTCTCGCAAATTTCGGCTTTCCCAGAGGTCCAACGTATGGGGGAAAAAGATCAGGGCGGCGGTCTTTCGCAAATTTCGGCCTTCCCAGAGGTCCAACGCATGGGAAAAAGATCAGGGCGG